AGTGGACCTTTTTGAGATTTTCTAACTTATCCTAGAGGACAGCCAAAACCCACAACTAGCCTCGCTTATCTTCATTTACTCCGGCTGATGGGCTTTACTGAAGCGAAAACAGGGCATATCTTCTACAGCCTTGGTACTCAGCAAGCTTCATGTGGCTCTTAATGATGTTGCATCTCAAAGTGTCGTTTGTCCCTCAAATGATTCTTTATGTTTTTGTCCTTGGCTTGGCTAGACAGTCATAAGTCAACAACGTTCAGGATCATTGCAAGACAATTTGGCCCTATTCTGGGTGCCTGTTAACGACCAATTTAAATTAACAATTACCATGACACTTCTACTGTGCAAGCTTTCAGAATTAGCATCATTCATCACTTGGATGTATAGGAAGACAGGGCAACCAATATTCCTGGTAAAAGCAAAACTATCAATTAAAGTCAAAGGTCTTAAGGTCCTTTCACATTTATCAGTACTCTGCCAAATTTAATAAAATAAAATCTTTAAAAATATAATTTTGAAATAATTTTTGTCCAACAAAATGCCATCAAAAATTTGCTTATGCAACCACACCAGTCGACAATCAAATATATAAATCAGTGGGAATTGTCATCCCAAAGAATCCCAAAACTGGTCTTAAAACCATTTATTTCTGTAGCAGTCTTCTATGTGTAACTGGCTGATATGACTATGACATGGCAAATGTGCTGAATATGCTATCAGGCAGTCAATGTACAAAGTGACGAGCTGTTTCATTTTATTCAGCATATTGAAACATATTCTCCCATGACTTTCATTTAAACAGAAGTACCTCCTGCTGTTTTACTCTTTTTCTGAGTTAACCTTGAAGGCTTCCCCCTGCGGGAAGGGCTCAGACGACATGCCCCTACTCTGGATGCAGTTGACTGACCGATCAGAAATCATCTGAATTAACTACCGCCCTGACGTGCCTCTACTCTTGATGCTCTTCATCAGTTTAGAAATAATGATCACTTTAGCATGACCCCACATGACAGCCTATCAGGATCTTACAGCATTTTGAACTAACCTTGAAAACTCCCCCTGTGGGAAAAGCTCCAACAAGGTGATGCAGTTAATTGACCGATCAAAAATTACAATGACATGCACCTATTCTAGACGTTGCACCCTTTCCCATCACAATTAACTACACTGGTAAGTGCTTCTTATCTGGATGTTCTCCAACCCTTTAGAGACAATCATCACTATGAAACAAACCTACTCTGGATGGTGCTCCCCTACTTATCAGAATCATCAAATGAAGTTTATTCAGTGTATTAAGGCACCTACTTTAATGACTTACATACAAACTGGACCAATATCTTGTCAAGAGTAAAGAGTTCACACGTGGGAAGGGCTGTTACAATATCAAGATATGTGCCTATTGTCGATTCTGCTCACCAACCTATCAGAATTAACTACTACCCTGACATGTCACTACTCTGGATGATCATTCACCCCTCAGAGGTAACTATCATTTTGACTTGACCCTACTTTCACCAATCCATCAACCCTCAACTGTCATTCTCCTGCCACCTACCACTTTGGTTGCTGCTCACCAACCCATCAGAATTTTCCATCACTCTGATGTGCTTCTACTTTGGTTGCTACCCACCAACCCATCAGGACTTGCCAACACTCTGATGCGAGGGTATTCTATAGTCTACCCAAGACGTCACTTGCATAAGACTGATAATCCTCCAGAGGCGGGCAATGTGAGAACTAATGTTAGGTAGTCCCCTTCTATCAAACGCGAATCACACAAGGCAACCATTTGAACGGCAACAAATTTGTAAACAAAATGGTCGCCTTCATTTTGGGAGAAGATTTGATGTACAAAATATCTTGGCAATTATCTCAGAAGACTTTATTCAGAGGATGATAGGTAAAAAGCAAGTTAATAATTCTTATGGTAGTTACATAATTTTCTTGACAGGATGACGTCTGATCAAATTCTTCAGAAGTATCAGTTTTAGAGTCAGACATTATTTGAAAATTTATGAGAGGGTTTTTATTAGATTGCTTTGGTCATGCCAAAAGGAAATCCTTACCTTGGTAAACAGAGAATTGGATAATTTGATGTTTACCATTCAAAGATAAAGAAGCTGTTATTGCATACCTGAGAGGTATTTCAAGATGGTTGTCACATGGCATTTTCAAAGGTGGTTGCACTTTGGTTGCTGTCCACCAACCCATCAAAACGTTCTATTCTTATGTGTCCCCCTATCATGAATTCATCTTACCAGTCCATCAGAAAGTTCCATTACTCTGACATGCCTACACTTCTGAGTGTGATGATCACTCAGTCAGATATGGCCATGATTAAAATATGCCACTTACTGAAAGAGCTGTTATCCAACCAATTATAATTAATCTTCACACTTGTGTGCAACTACCATTACCGTGATGTGCTCCTCTTAAAATGATCCTCCTCAGTCCATCAGGACAATTCTTATATTCTGCACTCTGAAGTGTCAAAAATTGCAGAGAATAACTGGGAGAACCAGGCTATCTAGACTAGACTATATTCTGGACCCTCCCTCTTAGGCATGCTGCTAGGAGGGGGGGCAGTCAGGACGATTCTAAGAGCCCACGCCATTTTGGGCCCCCCAGAGATACTATTTGGGGACCTCCAGACGCCCCAACCCCAACCCCCGCCCTCTCCTCACTGTGCGAAAATAGCACATGTATAGTTTTAAAAACAGAACATGGCCTTGAATGCTAAGATTGAGATTTACTGTTCAACAAAATAGTTTGTCAGAATGAAGCAACCTTTAATCTAAATGGTTCACGACATGTGTTTTAATCCACCAGCTGTTGCCACAAGGGCCAAGGTGGCTCCCTGTGACCAATTAAACTTGTCACAACACAGTTTTGGCCTGTTTTGGTTCTAAGGTGAGGCTTGGTCAAAAGAGCATTTCAAATTTTGTTTGACAAGGGCATATCAGTGTGAGTGGCTCGTGGATGCATGCCTGGAACTGTCTTCCCCCCTGGAACGCACACAGCATGTTGGCAGAGCTAAAATCACAATTCATCCCCACGCCGGCCCTGCCAACAGTCATTTGCCCAGGTGCCAGGTCTGAGCATTTGCTCGGTGAAGAATGTGCCGTACTCTGCCAGAAAGACCTGCAGAGACGAGATTGACAGGAGAGAATTTACGATCTCACCCTCTCTCCTTTTCCCTGGCTTACGTTCTCTTTCACTAACGCTCTTGCCTAAACCTGGCTCTCTCTCTCTCTCTTTTCTCCTCTGACTATCTCTCTCATAGTCTAATGCTTTTTCTAACCTGACTAGCTGCATAACTTTCTTTTTGACTTTCACCTCATCAAATCCTTGTACCTTTATTTTAACTACCCATTTTCACTTCGTCTTCTTTTTCTTCCCACATCCAGCTACACATTTTTCATATGGTCATACTTTAAGTTGTCCCATCTTCTGTAACTCTTTAACCCAGGGGTGCTCAAAGTTGGTCCTGGGGTACTGCAAAGTTTAGTTCCAACCCCAAACAGACATACCTGGGCTAGCTAATCCAGCTCTAACTAGGCTTTCTAGAAACATCTGTGCAGGATGTTCTAGAAACACCAACCCTCCAGGACTGAGTTTGGGCACTCCTGCTTTAATCCATCCATCCATCCATCCATCCATCCATCCATCCATCCATCCATCCATCCATCCATCCATCCATTCATCCATCCATCCATCCTTCCTTCCTTCCTTCCTTCCTTCCTTCCTTCCTTCCTTCCTTCCCCCATCAATTGTTTCAATGTCTTACCTTTTCCTTTCTTCCATTTTAAATTAATATTAGATCTTTAGTGTTGTTCGATTCATTCAATCTTTCCTTTCCCATCAACTGTTAATTTTTTCAAACTCTGATCCTTCATTGAGAAATTTGTATATTCCTACAAATTCTTACAAATGTTATCTTTTATTCCTCCATCCTTTTTTCTTCCTTACTTTCTTCATACCTTCATCAATAGTTTTACTCTTATATTTTCCTTTCTTCCATGTTCAGTCAGTATTAGATCTTTCTTTCATCATCAGTTGATTTACAGACTTAATTTTCTTTTCTTCCATTTTTTCAGTGAATATCTTTCTTTCTTTCTTTCTTTCTTTCTTTCTCTTTCTCTTTCTTTCTTTCTTTCTTTCTTTCTTTCTTTCTTTCTTTCTTTCTTTCTTTCTTTCTTTCTTTCGCTCTTACCATAACCTGACTACCCCCTCCCCCTCTAGACCCAAATTCTCTTATCCTCACCTGCCTTGCATTTCCCTCTCTCCTTTTTCTGTCATTCCACCTCATTTTTATTCCTCCCTGTTTATCTCATGCCAGTGTGTCTGTGTGTGTGCATGTGTGCCATAAAGCAGACCATGGAAAAAAGGCCAGGATGCTGAGGGATAAAAGATAATGGAAGCAATGTCTCATCTGCTCCTTCCCTCAGTCATTATATCATTCACAGAGCAAGCAGCAGTGTATAGTACAGCCGCATAATGTCATAGTGTCATGCGCACAAGAACACACACGTGAAAAACACATAAACCAAATCACACTTTTTAATGGTTTTCAACTAATCGTGTGTCTCCTAGCTTGCTAATTACTTCTAATTTATTACACACCAAACAAACGTGTTACAAAGGTTGTGTCCTTGTCTGGCGCTGCGGCTTTAAACTTTGCCCATGGCTTTTTTGCACTTCCGCTAGCGTTAAGCAAACTTCAGCTGCATGAGGTTGGATTGTTATTCACACAAACATCGCATTAACCATCAGTCCTCTAGGGCGAAGTGTGAAACATTTTCGCACATTTGAAGTTTCAGGCAAAAAAAAGGTAAATCCTAATTAGCTTGCAAATCACTGGCAAGGATTTTAACACTACGCTACGTTGTTTTGAAACCACGCTTGTTTGTGTCAGTCATTATCTCATAACGAGTGAATCGCAATAATTTATTTAAAAAGCCAATCGTCATTAGCATTTCAAACAGAATGACTAATGGATTTACCTGTCACGGATGCCACAGATGTCAAACTGGAGCTTGCTGTAGTTTCCGAGCAGGCCTTGCTGCACCAGGTAGAAGTTGATTGGCTTGTTGTTGATGACAACAGAGCGCATGCAGCCTTGATAGGCCATCGTGGGATTCCGACAACCCTGATTGCTCAACACTGATGGGCATCCTGTTAAAAATATTCAAAAATAGACATACAAGTAATAATAATAGATTTTTAGGACTACATATTTAGAATTCTAAAAAAAAAATCTTGAGTTTATTTATTATTTTTTTTATTTTTACAGTAAATTTACAATTTTCACAGCTTGAGCTGTTGCATTACCGTGAAATTACAGTAAAATTACTGTTTAATTAGAGTTATAAAATGTAAAACAGAGATAAAAGTGTTGAATTATAAGAAATTGCTGGAATTAATGCTGCCAAAACTTAACTGTAAAATTACAGCAACAGCCATTAAACAGAAAACTCTACTTAAACCGTAAAATTACACTAAATCAATGGAACTATTGCGCCTAGGATTTTACTGTGAGGTTACAGCAGAGTCATTGAACGAACAAAAAAAACTGTATTTTAAACTTTAAAATTACAGTAAATCACTGGAACAATTGTGGCTAGTATTTTCCTGTAAAATTACAGCAGTCGTTGAATGAACAAAAAATGTTTTAAACTGTAAAATTACAGTAAATAGCTTTCAACCATTGCTGCCAGTACTTTCCTGTAAAATTACAGTACGGTGATAAAACAGAAAATTTTATCTAAACTGTAATATTCCAATAAATCACTGGAACCATTGCTGCCAGGATTTATTGTAAAATTACAGCAGAGCCATTAACCAGAAAATAGTATTTATACAGTAAAAATAAACAGTAAATCACTGGACCTGTTGCTGCCAGTATTTTATTGTAAAATTACAGCACAGTCGTAAAACAGAAACCAGTAGTTAAACTGTAACAAAATAGTATTTTTTCACTGTAAAATTAATTAACAAAGCCAATCAGCAAAAATCAATTTTAAACAGTAAAATTACAGTAAGTTGCTGGAACCATTACTGACAGTATTTTACTGTAAAAATTACAACAAAAATTAGACAGATAACTGTATTTTAAACTGTAAAACTACATTAAATTGCTGGAACCACAGCAGACAGTATTTTAAGTATTTCAGTAATTTTTATCTGTAAAAATTTTCAAAGCCATTAAACAGATAACTGTATTTTAAATTGTAAAATTACAGTATAATGCTGGAACCATTGCTGACAGTATTTTACTGTAAAAATTACTACAGCAGAATGAACCGTCAACTTATCCAGCCTATGTTTTACACAGCGGCTGCCCTTCCAGCTGCAACCCATCATTGGAAAACACCCATACACTCTCATTTACACACATGCACTACAAACAATTTAACGTATCCAATTCACCCATATCGCATGTCTTTGGACTTTGGAGGGAACCGGAGCACCCGGAGGAAACTCACGCCAACACAGGGAGAACATGCAAACTCTACACAGAAATGCCAGTTGACCTAGCCGAAGCTTGAACCAGCGACCTTCTTGCTGTGAGGACACAGCACCACCCACTGTGCCATCATAGCTTTATTTTAAACTGTAAAATTACAGTAAATCGCTGCAACCATTGCTGCCAGTATTTTACTGTAAAATTACAGCAAAGCCATTAAAGCGATAACTGTATTTTAACCTGTAATATTACAATAAATCACTGGAACCATTGCTGCTAGTACTTTCTTGTAAAATTACAGCACAGCCATAAAACAGAAAACAGTACTTAGACTGTAAAGTTTCGATAAATCGATAGACTCATCACTGCCAGAATTTTACTGTAAATTTACAGCACAGCCAATCAAACAGCACTGAAAATGTACAATTATAGTAAATTATTGCTGCCAGTACTTTACTGCAAAATTACTGCACAACTGTAAAACGGAAAAAAGTATCAAAACTAGTAGACTAGTAAATATGACCAGCATTTAACTGTCTTTAATTAACAGTATTTAAAGGTTACAGATTTTTATCTGCAGCAAATTTAAAGTATTTTTTTTTGTTAAAATGATACTAATGGACCTTATAATCTTCAATAACTCCTAAAGAACAGAGAAAGTGGACATGATCACAGCCCACGCGAATCCATTTCCCATCAATTATGCTTTCAAAAAAAACAACAAAAAAAAAAAACCTTTACCTCCAATTAGCAGGCTCTTCCCCGGCAGCGCAACCTCCTTCATCTGCATGGTGGACGGAGGCTCGTCGTCTACCGCCAGCGACACCTGGTAACCTGCTATGCTAATGGACAGCGTGTGCCATTGACCGTCACTCAGAGCCTGACCTGCCAGAGGAAAACACAGAGCGAGTGTTACGCCTCAAACGCTGTGCATTAATCAGGCCCAGTGACTGACAGATCTGGGCTTTGTGCGCTGGAGCTCAACGAGTTAATCTGCATATGTCAAACTGGCAGAGAATCCACTCTTTTCCCCTGGAGAGAGACGTGCAGAGACTTCATCCCAAATTCAGCCGGTGTACAGGTGGGCCTGCCAGAGAGGGTTCTTTGAGTAAAATTGTGCACAAGTGGGATTGGATTTCATTCAAGCTGTTGTTTGTTTGTTTGTGACTTGCTCAGAGTGACTAGCTTTCAGTAAAAAAGAAGACATGTTATAGTAAAAATAATAATAATATTGGGCTCTATGTTAACGATATAGGCGCAAAGTCTAAAGTTCGTGGCATAAAAGCATTAAGAGTGTGTCCGAATCTACTTTTGCTATCCTAAGGAGGGAAAATTAGGATTTGCGCCCCGAAGCATTGTCTAACAGGGTTGTGCTTATTTTCTTAATGAGTTATGGGTGTGTTTTAAATGTAACATGCATTAAACCAATCAGTCTCATCTCTAATTCCCTTTAAGAGTCTGTTGTGTCATGCCATGGCGTATTTGCTATTTATATAGCGACTTTAAGTGGAAAATTGAATGTCTTACTCGCGAGAAAACAGTTAAACAGACCATCTGCATAAGGATAAAGAACAAGCCTCCTCCTTTCGACCCCTTTAATTTCTCTTTACTTTATTTTTACTCTTTACACCTTTACTTTCGTGGATTAGGAAAGGGTGTTGTATACTCCACTGAAGACATCCATTACCCTACATATTTAATTTTGTTTGTTAAGGGCAAAGATCTGTTTCAAAACTATTTATAAATTCAGTCTTAATTTCCAGCAAACGAATAAATGAACAATAAAAACAAAGTGTGGTCAACTGAGTTATATCACTCATGTCCTATTTTTTTACCCCATATAGTGATGCAATAGTCTCCAAACCCCGCAGGTGGACAAATCCAAACTTGTTTTTATTGAAACAAATATAAATATGCATTTAATAAATCTAATGCTAATTATAATAACCATATAAAATTGCAAATTGTCAGTAACTGAAAAAAGCTATTAAGGTTGCACTGATCTGAAAATAACAACAAATCGCGCCAAACACATCTTGCACCTTATTGCACCGGGATAGGTGTTGCATTTAAAATAATTATATTGGTATTAATACTACACAAAATACTACAACTAGTAATAAATGAATGATTTAAATTACAGCAATATTTTGTTTTGTTATAAATACACAATATTGATTGTACACAATAATACACAGTATTGATTCCATAACAATAAAACTAGTGCTCATAATAATAAAAAGACAAACAATTAACCATCCACAAAAATAATAATAATAATAATAATAATAATAATAATAATAATAATAATAAACTGTTGATGTTGTAATTAAAGTTACTCTTAATATTGTTACAAATAAGAACAACAACAACAACAATAATAATAATAATTTATTTTTTATTTGTGGTAGTATTAGTAGCTGTTTTAGTATCGTTATTCTAATATAAATTTATTATTACTAGTAAAAGTAATAATAAACTAATGATTGCAGTACAACATATATTTGCATCATGTCGTATTCTGTAATATTTTCATTTCCCTAACATGCTGATACTAATAAAAATAAATCAAGATTTTGATTTATTTATTTATTTATTTGCAATATTTTCATTTGCATAACATGCTGATACTATTAAAAAAATAAATGAAGATTTTTATTTATTTATTTATTTATTTGCTTGTTTATAATAATAATAATAATAATAATAATAATAATAATTATTATTATTATTAATAGCAGTGTAAAGTTATGAATATATAAATTACATCTTAATACAATCTTTAAAATTTTAACTATTGTTACTAACAATAACATAAAATCACTAAAAGACACACAATTAACTCTCCATGATAATATTTCATATAACATATTGTTTCAACTACAAATGGAAAATTGTTCTTAAAAAACACCGTGGGATTTGATCCAATGCCGAAAAGCTCAAACCATCCCCCCCTGAGAGAAACATGCAGAGACTCAGTTTGCCGCCTGCGACTGGCATCCTGCCACCTCAGCTTCAGCAGACATACAGGTGTGCCAGCCAGAGAGCGTTTTACAACTACAAAATCCTGTTTGAATTTGACGAAAACGCTTTTGGGGCACATGTGCGCATACGTGGGGGGGATTAGATTTTTGCTCACGCTGTTGTTTTTTGGAGATATAGATTGCAAAGACAAGAGTGAGACCTTGTATATTTATCCCTCAGAGGAACCCTCCTTTCACATCTGTTGTTTCTAATATGAGATAATTTTAATTAGATGAAAGGGGCGTTTGTTATCAACAGTGATTTTCTGTGACGGAAACCCCCCAGTGGCTATGTTATATGATTGTCCCCTGGTTTCACAGAGTAGGTTTGAGTCTATTGTATCAGACTGAATAATAAATCTGAGCTGTTTCAATTGAAATAAAGTTGCACTCACTGATCTTATTTTTTATGGGAATGTTATACCCATTTGTATAGCCCTTTTATGAACATTATCTAAATGTACTTTAACTTCAATCTAATTTAGGTTTAGGACAGCTTAGACAGAGTATAGTTTAGGCCCAGTTTGCAAAACCAAGCTAATATGCTAGAATAAGTTTAACAACTGTATTCATCACACCAGGGGCAATTACATTAACGCAGTGACATCACGACATCATGCTTCATAATGACTTCAGAAATATAAAAATACTGTTAAAAATATAATATAATATAATATAATATAATATAATATAATATAATATAATATAATATAATATAATATAATATAATAATAATTATTAATATTATTATAAGAGACAATAAGAAAAATAGAAATACCATATATAATAATATTAATAATAAATTAATAATAATAATAATAATTATTATTATTATTATTATTAATATTATTATTATCATTATTTTTATTATGATTATTATGATTATTATTATTATTATTGTTACTATTAGAATAATAGTATTTAAAATACAACATTGTTTATTTTTATTACTTAATTAGAGGAAAGTTTTTTTACCCAAAAATTTGTAGATTCAAACCACACAAGTCAAGCTCCACAAACACACACAGGCACACTAGTAAAAGTCTCACCAATGACTATATCAGAGCTCTGCAGTGCTGATCTGTGGTGCGAGAGTCTCAGCTGCCCATGAACGAGAAGCAAAAGCAGTTTCTCAGAATCTTTCCCCAGGCCAACGGACAGTAACATGCCTTCCCGATTCCACGTCCTGAACTGGAGGCTCACTGACAGCGTTTCTGCAGCCGAGTCCAGAGGAAGAGCCAGAAAACTGCTGCTGGAGCTCAAAAAGGTGGAGGAGATCAGAACCGGCTCCGAGCACGAGAAGCTCACGTTACCCTGAAACATAAGGTTATATGCTTTACGTCACACAAACAAGCAGGAAAAAACGGCCTTCAACAGTATATAATAAAGCAATAACCCACAAGAAGCAGTGGTTTATAGTGAATTTAAAACAGAGAAATTATTACATAAAACACCTTTAGCTGTGATAAATTTACTGTAAACTGTAGCTTAATAGGGTTTATTGCTTTTATGAAATAGTTGTAAAACATTATTCTTCCACTAAACAACGTAGTTCCTCATCAATAGCTGTGGTTGCAACACAGACATCAACCAATCAGAGTCAAGGACCAAAACTACCCATTTCATAATAAAGCTTTTGAACTTGAATTAGTATTTTGAAATAATTGCATAGGTTTTGTTTCCATTTTTGAAGAAAGCGTCACCAGAAGCTAATTTAAGGCAATATTTATTGATTTATCCTCAACTTAGACAGTGTTTTTGCAATTTTAACACAGATTTTCAAATATTAATTACGAGAGAGAGAGAAGATTGTATTCATTATATATATATATATACAACTTTGGGGACACGAGTAAGAAAAGTGCTTAACATTTCTTAGTTTCTCTCGATTTACTCAATATTTAGGCATGGGTTAAAGGTAATATTTTAATATTTTATTCTCTAAAGTAGGGATTTTCAACTGGTGAGCCTTGGTCCACTAGTGGGCTTCAGCAATCCTGCAGGTGGGCCGCTATACGCAACTATTGTACTATAATTATTTAATTTCATTATTAAATATGCTATAACGGATGTCCGCCCATACAGGAGAATCTAGCGGTGATGTTTTAATGAACAGCTGTACACTACTGTCAGCGACTTATCCTAAAAACCCAAATATCCTAAAAACCCAACAGCCTTCAGATCAATGTTTCAACAGACTTAGAGAGTTTTTAATGTATTTTACAATTTTTGGTTTATTCATCTATTGATCGTCTCCATTAAAAATAGAGTCAGTAATAGTAATTCCGTT